CTATGACTGGTTGACAGTGACATGACCAAACCATTCTTTTTTTTTTAAATTGTACTTTAAGCTCTGGGGTACATGTGCACATCACGAAGGGTTGCTGCATAGGTAAACACATGTCACGGTGGTTTGCAGTCTCCGTCCCCCAGTCGCCGACATCAGGCATTTCTCCCAGTGTTTTCCCTTCCCAGCCTCCCTGTCCCCTGCTCACCCTTCCCTAGCCCCCTGCTCCCAACCTACCCCAGTGTGCGATGTTCCCCTCCCTATGTCATGTGTTCTCATTGTTCAATACCCGCCTATGAATGAGAACATTCGGTGTTTGGTTTTCTGTTCTTGCGTCAGTTTGCTGAGAATGATGGTTTCCAGATTCATCTATGTCCCTACAAAGGATATGAACTCATCATTTTTTATGGCTGCATAGTATTCCATGGTGTATATATGCCACATTTTCTTTGTCCAGTCTATCATTGATGGGCATTTGGGTTGGTTCCAGGTCTTTGCTATTGTAAATAGCGCCACAATGAACATACATGTGCATGTGTCTTTATAGTAGAAAAATTTATAATCCTTTGGGTATATACCCAATAATGGGATTGGTGGGTCAAATGGAATTTCTATTTCTAGGTCCTTGAGGAATCGCCACACTGTCTTCCACAATGGTTGAACTAATTTACACTCCACCAACAGTGTAAAAGTGTTCCTATTTCTCCACATCCTCTCTAGCATCTGTTGTCTCCAGATTTTTTAATGATCGCCATTCTAACTGGTGTGAGATGGTATCTCAATGTGGTTTTGATTTGCATTTCTCTAATGACCAGTGATGATGAGCATTTTTTATATGGACCAAAACCATCCTTGAATCATGCTAGCAGGCCTTTCTTTATGTGAGCAGTGAGTAGGGCCTACCTGAAAGAGGTGACAGAGCTGTTGATGGCACTGAATGAGGCAATGTATAAATAGCTCTTAGCACAGAGCCTGGAACACCAGAGTTGTTCAGCATGTGATCTGTGATTATCTTAGAACACACCCCACCCCCAACTTCACAACTTGGCTGCAATATCACCTCTTCTGTGAAACCTGCCTGACAACACTTACTACTAGCACAGGTATGAAAAATCTTGGAGTTGCTTAAACTTTTCACCTTCACAAAGATCTTTCACTTCCATCATCTCACTTGATTTCTGTGACTGCCCTGTGAAGTTATATGAGTATTATTATTATTATTTTTTAAGATGGAGTCTCTCTCTGTTACCAGGCTGGAGTGCAGTGGCATGATCTCAGCTCACTGCAACCTCCACCTCCAAGGTTCAAGTGATTCTCCTGCCAAGCCTCCCAAGTAGCTGGGACTATAGGTATGGACTACCACACCCGGCTAATTTTTGTATTTTCAGTAGAGACAGGGTTTCACCATATTGGCCAGAATGGTCTCGATCCCCTGACTTTGTGATCTGCCTGCCTCGGCCTCCCAAAGATTACAGGCATGAGCCACCATGCCCGGCTGTTATTTTTTGTTGTTTTTAAGTTGAAGAAAAGTACAATGGGATCAACCTTCAAGTTTGTTTACCAAAGTAAACACCAAGAGCTTGTAACTGGGTTCTCCTCAGTCACCCAAAGACTCTAGTAGCACATTAAAGAAGTTGTATATAAGGTTCGTGTTGCTCTGTCTAGCATGTGATCATGGGCTGCCCACGGTATATTTTGGTACTCAGTATCCTCATGAAAATAGTCTGGTCTACCCAGGGTCTTTATTAGGAGAAATTAGAATACTTTTATGGCATGTGCTTTACCCTTATTAAATTTTTTAAAAAAGGAATAGGCTGGGTGCAGTGGCTCACGCCTGTAATCCCAGCACTTTGGGAGGCCAAGGCAGGAGGATTGCTTGATCCCAAGAGTTTGAGACCAGCCTGGACAACATAGTGAGACCTTGTCTCTACAAAAATAAAAAATTAGCTGGGCATGGTGGCTTGCACCTGTAAACCCAGCTACTTGGGAGGCTGAGGTGGGAAAATTGCTTGAGTCTGGGAGATTGAGGCTGCAGTGAGTTGTGATTGTACCACTGCACTCCAGCTTGGGTGATAGCCTGACTCAAAAATAGACAAACAAATAAATAAAATAAAAAATAAATAAAAAGAACAGAAGAAGCAAAAATGTCAAAAAAAGAGAGCTAAGAAATTGAGCTGGGTATGCATAAACAGTGCCAAACCACCTAACTTTCCTCCACCAGCAATGAGAGAAAGCATTTTTTTTTTTTTTTTTTTTTTTTTTGAGATGAAAGTCTCACTCTACTGCCCAGGCTGGAGTGCAGTGGTGTAGTCTCAGCTCACTGCAACCTCCGCCTCTCGGGTTCAAACAATTCTCCTGCCTCAGCCTCCTGAGCAGCTGGGACTACTGGCACATGTCACCCTGCCCGGCTAATTTTTTTTTTTTTTTTGGTATTTTTAGTGGAGATGGGGTTTCACCATGTTAGCCAGAATGGTCTCGATCTCCTGACCTCGTGATCTGCCCGCCTCAGCCTCCCAAAGTGTTAGGATTACAGGCATGAGCTCCGTGCCTGGATAAGAGAAAACATTTTTAAACTGAAATGACTTTAGTAGCTATGCAAATTGGTTTGACTTGATTTAATAAAAATGATCTATGCAAGCTGGTTGCATACCAGTAGCATCAGCTGGGGTTCCATGGCAACAAAAATAATTACTCATCTGCAAACAGTCTTTGCAACAGATAAGTGTTTGATTACTATCTTAAAATTACTTTTTGATTCAAGGAATTTTATTTCCATGTAAAGGACAAAACAATGATTATTTTTTTCTGGAACTGGTCGTGTTTTAAAAGGACAAGAGGAGATCAATTATGGGGATGTTCTTCTATAATCTGTGTTTAGATTTTAGAACTGTGTGTCCATTCTCAGCTAATTAGATGACAGCTCACTCTGCAGGACTCACATGGTGGCCTGATCATTTATGTGTTCTTGGTCACCCCTTTCCTGTTCCCTCCTATGAATCTTACTCCTTTCAGCCCCTGTACTCTGACTCCCTCTCAGCAGATGGCTGGAGGCAGAAAATAAGAGTCCATCATCTTATTTCAGTAGATTAAAGGAAACAGAAAGACCTCAATGGAAAAATTGCAAAAGATGGAAAGAAAGACAAGAAATAGAAATAATAAGTAAATAAATGTAGCGGTTTGAGTGAGAAGGTTCAATCTCATTAGTTACCAACAAAATGTACATTGGAAGAAGGACAATAAGGTAATACCCCTTTTTTACCTGTCAAATTGGCAAAGAGTTTTAAAAGCAATAGCATTCAGCACTGATAAAGGCATGGGAAAGCTGCAGCTCTTTTCCACCCCAACTGATATATACATTAGTTCAATAGCCTTCAAAACGTTCATACTCTTGGACCTAGTAGTAATTCTACCTGGAGTAAGTTCTATACAAGGTTAAACTCCAGTAATAGGAGAATGATTACAATGATTTCTTTTTAATTATTATGATTATGATTATCATTACTTTTTGAGACAGAGTCTTGCTTTGTTGCCCAGACTGGAGCTCAATAGCTCAATTTTGGTTCATCACAACCTCCATCTCCTGAGTTCAAGTGATTCTTGTGCCTCAGCCTCCCGAGTAGCTGGGACTACAAGGGTGCACCATCACACCGGGCTAATTATTTATATTTTTAGTAGAGACTGGATTTTGCCATGTTGGACAGGCTGGTCTTGAACTCCTGATCTCAAGTGATCCTCCCGCCTCAGCCTCCCAAATTGCTGGGATTACAGGTGTAAGCCACCGTACCTGGCCTCTTTTTAATTATTTTAAAATTTCTTTTTTTTTTTTTTTTTAGACAGAGTTTCACTCATGTTACCCAGGCTGGAGTGCAATGGCGCGATCTCGGCTCACCGCAACCTCCGCCTCCTGGGTTCAGGCAATTCTCCTGCCTCAGCCTCCTGAGTAGCTGGGATTACAGGCATGCACCACCATGCCCAGCTAATTTTTTGTATTTTTAGTAGAGACGGGGTTTCACCATGTTGACCAGGATGGTCTCGATCTCTTGACCTCGTGATCCACCCGCCTCGGCCTCCCAAAGTGCTGGGATTACAGGCTTGAGCCACTGCGCCTGGCTAAAATTTCTTTTAAGTGTTTAGCCACAAGCTAGCCACACATCTGAGGTCTTTACATGTATTTTGTCATTTAATCCTCATCAGAATTCTATGAAACAAATACTGTATTCCCTTTTTATGGAGGAGGAAACTGAGGTACAGAAATAACTGAGGGACAGTGCATCTAATGCTAGGCTCTGAACCAGTATGCTCAACTGTCTAGTTTCAGAAAAGACTTAAGGCAGCAGGTGGAGCTGTATAAAATGCAAGACAATCTCAAGTGTTTTGTAGGAGAGAGAAAAACAATGGCAAAGACAGACATAAAACAGAGCCAGGAATGAGGCCAAAAATATATATCATTTGACCTATGCACTTGCTAAGAGGACCACAAATTTGGCTAGAGCTTTCTAGCAGCTTGTGGATAAAATGAAATCTGATCAGTTATACAATTTACAGGATCCATGAGATAAAAGCAGGCCAATTACTCAGAAGAAGCCAACTATTCTTGGTAGTAAGACCAGACATAGATTTATTCTGCAGAACACAAATGTTCTTGTAAAAAAAGACACTGTGTGAGCTAATGGATAACGGCCTCAACAACATCCTTGTATAGACAAGATGACCACTAATATGGTTTGGCTGTGTCCACATCCAAATCTCATATTGAATTGTAGTTTCCATAATCCCCACATGTCGTGGGAAGGACTCAGTGGGAGGTAATTGAATCGTGGGGGTGGTTAGCTCCATGCTGTTCTGATAGTGAGGTATCAAGAGATCTGATGGGTTTTACTGTGGGCTTTCCCCCTTTGGCCCTGCATTTCTCCTTGCTGCTGCCATGTGAAGAAAGACGTGTATTGTAAGTTTCCTGAGGCCTCCATAGCCATGCTGAACTGTGAGTCAATTAAATCCCTTTCCTTTATAAATTACCCAGTCTCAGGTATGTCTTTATTAGCAGTGTGAGCACAGACTAATACAATCACTTCCACCAGGTTGAGTCTTCCAGCTTTTCTCTTAGGGCTTATGTCCCAACATCAAAACATGGTAACAAGCAACCAGGATATGGCTTAGGCACCTAGGTCCCTACTGGTCAGTATCTGAGAGTGAGTGGACTGATAGCCTTTGATAGACGCTGTGAGAAATGAGACTGAGATTGTGATTTTCAACAAATATCTAGAATTCATCTTTTCTGTTTTGTAAGTCTCTCTCTCTCTCTCTCTTTTTTTTTTTTTTTTTTTTTTTTTTTTTTTTCCGAGACAGGGTTTTGCTCTGTCACTCAGGCTGGAGTGTGGTGGTGTGATCTTGGCTCTCTGCAGCCTTGATCTTCCCAGGCTTAGGTGATACTCCTAACTCAGCCTCCTGGATAGCCGAGACTACAGGCACATTCCAAGATACCTGGCTAATTTTGTATTTTTTGTAGAGATGGGGTTTTGCCATGTTGCCCAGGCTGGTCTCGAACTCCTGGGCTCAAGCTATCTGCCTGCTTTGGTCTCCCAAAGTACTGGGACTACAGGCGTGAGCCACTGTGCTCAGCCTATTTTGTCAGTCTTATATGTATTAAAGACCATTATATTAGAGATAGGAATTGTGAAAAATATTATAATATGAAATAATCAATTATGTATCTATTAAACATGGTGTTTAGGGAGTCTTTTGATAATATGAAAATGTTCTTAAACTATAATATTAAATAAAGCAGAATACAAAACTATATGTAATATTTAATCTCAACAATGTTTAAAATATGAATGGAGATGCAGTGAGCTGAGATGGCGCCACTACACTCCAGCCTGGGTGACTGCAAGACTCTGTATATAAAAAAAAATTTATATACAGATAATATATATATGGAGTAAGATATGAATCTTTAGTTTTTCTTGATATAGAAACTTATTTTTTTCTTTTACTTACTGAATAGAAAGATGAAAGGCAATTTCTGGATGGGTTGGAATATCTTCAAAAGAGGCACCCGTTTTCAGTTGCACATTGCTTGGGTCCTAGGTATGACTGACCATCAAACCAAGGGGAAAGAAGAAGAAAACAGGTTTTGATTTGATTTGATTGGGAAGCAGGTGTGTGTATGAGGAGGCCTAAAGACTATGTGGGGGAAAAAACTGGGGAGAAAGGTAGCAATGTGCAGGATTTCCAGAGGGGCCTTTAAAAACCTAAAAAGCTAATCCCTGAAGTTGTCCATGACAGAGAGGGCCCAGAGCTAGGAGATTTCTGCCCCCAGGAGAGGTTTTGGAGCTGACTCCTCATTCTCTGTTAGACAGGCCGTCACCTGAATGACAGCCTGCCTATTCCCAGCACCCCAGGGTCTACCCCAGTCTCTTCTCACAGAGATATGGAGAGGGCCTTGCTCCTTCCTGCATTTGCATTAAACTGACACTTGCCTCACCACAAGACTGTTGGGGTCCTCATTCATTACCCTGTATGAGCATCCTCTGTAACCATGCCCTAGGACATCAGTATGACAAAATGGGGCTGGTGAGGGAAAACTCTTTATCTTTAAGCGGAAGAGGCTGAACTAATAAACTTGAAGTGTTGTTTTGTTTTGGTTTGGTTTTTTTTTTTTTTTTTTTGAGGCAGAGTGTCACTCTGTCACCCAGGCTGGAGTGCAGTGGCATGTGATCTTGGCTCATTGCAACCTTTGCCTCCCCGGTTCAAGCAATCCTCCTGCTTCAGCCTCCTGAGTAGCTGAGATTACAGGTATGCGCCACCATGTCCGGCTACTTTTTGTATTTTTAGTAGAGACAGGGTTTCACCATGTTGATCAGGCTGGTCTCAAACTCCTGGCCTCGTGATCCGCCCGCCTCGGCCTCCCAAAGTGCTGGGATTGTAGGTGTGAGCCATTGTACTCAGCCGAGATTATTTTAATAGCATGCGCACATGCACGAACACACACACACACACACACACACACGTATACTGCAAGAACTACACCTTCAAGAGTCTCACCTTCCCCTTTCCCCTGCTGCTCCTTAAATATGGGTGTTGCCCCCAATTCCTTCTCAGTCCTTCTTTCTTTTCTTTCTAGATCCTCTCCTTGGGCTATTTCAACTTTCATACAAATTCTGATATGCATTAAATCTAAAATCTCCATTATGAGTCTCCTTAAATCACAGTCTAAGGATATCCAGAACAGAGTTTCCACACCAAAGGCATGTCTAGTTTCTCATCTACAAGCTTTTTATCTTTGGCTTTGTTTTTGTTTTTTATTCTGAAACTCCTTGACAAATATTATTCCATCACCAGAAGGAAGGTCCTGGGAACAGTAAAGAAATGAGCATTTGTGCTAAGTATTTTATAGGCATATATCTTCATTTAATCCTCATAACCACTCTATGTAGTAGGCATGATCATTCCTTATTAGCAGATGAGGAAACCAAGACTTTGAGCAGGTAATTTGTATAAGATCAAGCAGGTTGGAAAACCTTAGGATGAGTAAGGTTTAAAGTCAGGTCTGTCTATTTTTCTAAGAAAAGAAGATTGATGCTTTCCTGTTAGGGAATCAACTTCTTATTCCCAGGCTGTGGAATCCTGTGCTAACCAGGAAATAACTAACGCTTCTCGCAGGACATGTTATGAGATATATGTAATGTTTTCTATGTCACAATAGCTTTTTTTTTTTTTCTGAGATGGAGTCTTGCTCTATTGCCCAGACTGGAGTGCAGTGGTGCGATCTTGGCTGACTGCAACCTTCACCTCCTGGGTTCAAACGATTCTCCTGCCTCCGTCTCCCAAGTAGCTGGGATTACAGGCATACACCACCATGCTCAGCTAATTTTTGTATGCTTTTTTTTTCTTTTTAGATGGAGTCTTATTTGGCCACCCTGGCTGGAGTGCAGTGGTGTGATCTCAGCTCACTGCAACCTCTGCCTCCCAGGTTCAAGTGATTCTCCTGCGTCAGCCTCCTGAGTAGCTGAGATTACAGGTGTGTACCACCACACCCAGCTAATTTTTGTATTTTTAGTGGAGATAGGGCTTCACTATGTTGGCTGGTCTCAAGGCTGGTCTCGAACTCCTAACCTCGTGATCTGCCCACCTTGACCTCCTAAAGCGCTGGGATTACAGGCATTAGCCACCATGCCTAGCCTAACTTTTGTATTTTTAGTAGAGACAGGGTTTCACCATGTTGGCCAGGCTGGTCTCAAACTCCTGACCTTAAGTGATCTGCCTGCTTTGGCCTCCCAAAGTGCCACAATAGCCTTTTTACCTAAGTTTTATTTTAGAATCCTGAGGAAAAGCTGTGACCTTCTAGCTTCATTTGCTCTTTGACATTACCTGAAACCTCAGCCTGTTTGGCAAGTTGTATCACAGGATTCACATTTCCTGATTTCAAAATTACTACAAAGCAGTGGTAAAAAGACACTGTGGTAACGCCATAAATAGCACGATGGTTTGAATGTTTATGTTCCCTCCAGAATTCATATTGGAACTTATTCACCAGTGCATCACTTAAGAGGTGAGGCGTTGACCGGGCGCGGTGGCTCAAGCCTGTAATCCCAGCACTTTGGGAGGCCGAGGCGGGTGGATCACAAGGTCGAGAGATCGAGACCATCCTGGTCAACACGGTGAAACCCCGTCTCTACTAAAAATACAAAAAATTAGCTGGGCATGGTGGCGCGTGCCTGTAATCCCAGCTACTCAGGAGGCTGAGGCAGGAGAATTGCCTGAACCCAGGAGGCGGAGGTTGCGGTGAGCCGAGATCGTGCCATTGCACTCCAGCCTGGGTAACAAGAGCAAAACTCCATCCCAAAAAAAAAAAAAAAAAAAAAGAGGTGAGGCGTTTAGGGGGTGATTTGGGCGTGAGGGTTCTGCCCTCATGGATGGGATTAGTGCTTTAAAAAAGGGCCACGGGGAACTAGGCTAGGTCTTTTTTTTTTTTGCACTTCGGCTCTTCTACCATGTGAGGACACAGCAGGAAGGTACCCCCTTGGAGGCAGAGAGCAGCCCTCGGCAGACACCAACTCTGCTGGCACCTTGATCTTGTACCTCCCAGTCTCTAGAACTGTGGAGAAATACATTTCTGCTCTTTATTAATTACCCTGTCTCATGCATTTTGTTATAGCCATCTGAATGGACTAAGATAGATGGACATGTAGACCAATGGAACAGATTGGAGAGTCTAGAAATAAACCCATATGTCTGTGGTCAAGGGACTTTTGACAAGGGTATCAAAACCATTCAATGGGGAAAGAATAGCCTTTTAACAAATGATGCTGGGACAACAAGATAGCCACCTGCAAAGGATGACATTCAACTGTCACCTCACACAATTTAAAGAAATCAATTAAAAATGAACCAGAGACCTAAATGTAAGAGCTGAAACTAAAAAAATTTAAAAATAAATCATAGATCTAAATCTTTTCAACCTCAGAGTTGGCAACGATATGACACCAAAAGCTCAAACATAAGAAAAAAATAAATTAGACTTAATCAAAATTTAAAACTTTCATTTTTTTTTTTTTCACCAACAAAACATGCTTTATTTGGTAAAAACATGAGTGTAAGCAGGGCAGGATGGGCAGGGCAGAAGGGTACAGTATTGGAGGTGGGAGTGGGGGGTCTACACATCTGGGATCTTTGGAGGTGTGGACGTCCTATCATGACAGAGAAGGTCCAAAGTTCTGGAGGAGGGTAGTCCTTTGTTAACGGATCACTTGCTTTCCCAGGGATGAAGAGTGGGGCTCCAGAGGCCTGAGTAGGATGGAGGGGTGGCTGTCCTGATAAGTCTAGGGAAGCCCAGCTCCCAGCAGCAGGAACTCTTGAGGACAGTCTGTCTTGTCCCAAAGGCCAGCATAGCAAGCAGCCTCCACATTAGTTCCACAGCTCAACTGGCTTCTAAGATGGGCATCTCTAGGGTGGAGAAAGATCCAGAATCTCAAAGCATCCCCTCTTTGGTTGAATTTTTAAAAGATCACTTTATTTATTTATTTACTTTTTTTTTTTTTTTTTTTATTTTTTTGAGACAGAGTCTCACTCTGTCACCCAGGCTGGAGTGCAGTGGTATGATCTTGGCTCATTTTCAGGTTCAAGCAATTCTCCTGCCTCAGCCTCCCAAGTAGCTGGGATTACAGGCATGCACCATCACATCCTGCTAATTTTTGTATTTTTAGTAGAGACCATGTTGGCCAGGCTGATCTCAAACTCATGGCCTCAAGTGATCTGCCTGCCTCAGCCTCCCAAAGTGCTGTGATTACAGGCATGAGCTACTGTGCCCAGGTAAAGGACCACTTTAAAGATGTAAAAGGACAACTCCCAGGATGAGAGAAAATTATTCCAAATCAAATATCTGATAAGGGACTTCTATCTAGAACATACAAATAACCCATACATTCAATAATAAAATGATAACTAACTCCATTAAAAATAGACAAAGGATCTGGACAGGCATTTTCCCAACAAAGATATATGAATGGCCAAGAAACACATTAAAAAATCCTCAACATAATTAGCCATCGTGGAACTGCAAATCAAAATCGCAACAGGATATGCTACTTTACATCTACTAGGGTGGCTGGACTCAAAAATTCAGATGATACCATGGTCGTCAAGGATGTGGAGAAATCAGACCCCTCATACACTGGTGCTGGGAATGTGAAATGGTTCAGCCACTTTGGAGGACAATCCAGAAGTCCTTCCAAATGTGAAACTTTGAGTTACCACATGACTCAGCAATTTCACTTCCAGGTATGCCCAAAAGAAGTGGAAATGTATGTTCACAACAAAACTTGTACACGATGCTTATAACGTATTATTCATAATAGCCAAAAGATGGAAACAACCCAAGTGCCCATAAACTGATGAATGGATACAAAGGTGGTATATCTACACAATGCAATATTATTTAGTCATCAAAGGGAAAGTAGTATGTATGATACATGCTACAACATAGATATATTTTGAAAACATTATGTTAAGAAAGAAGCCAGCCTCCAAAGACTACATATTATATGATGTCATTTATATAAAATACCAAGATTAGGGAAAGCTATAGAGACAGAAAAGAGTTCAGTAGTTCCTTAGGACTAGGCTAATGGGGTGGAGGATAGGGGATGGGATAGGCGGACGACAGCTAAAGGGTACAGGTGATTAAAGTGAACAAGGGCTGCCACTGAGAGGGCTGCTATCTGAGCAGCTTGGAGATGAAGTCCTGGCCCTAGAAGGCACTGGTGTGGAAGTCACACATCTCCCTTGAGGGTGCATCTGGAGCTCTTGGTATGTGAAGGGCAGATTTCCCACCAGCCATTCACAGCAGAGCGCCCCGGTGCCCGGCAGATCTACCTTCGCACTGTATGTTCTCCCCGCCAGCATTTCTGGAGGCATGGAGATGTCTGCTTAGGCTGTCTCCACATCTTAAATTTCTTTTCTTTTTTTTTTTTTTTTTTTTTTGGAGATGGAGTCTTGCTCTGTTGCCCAGGCAGGAGTGCAGTGGCACAATCTCAGTTCACTGTAACCACTGCTTTCCAGGTTCAAGCAATTTCTCCTGCCTCAGCCTCCTGAGTAGCTGGGACTACAGGCATGCACCATCACACCCGGCTAATTTTTGTATTTTTAGTAGAGACAGAGTTTTAACATGTTGGCCAGGCTAGTCCCAAACTGCTGACCTCAGGTGATCTGCCCACCTTGGCCTCCCAAAGTTCTGGGATTATAGGGGCTCAGCTTACATCTTAAATTTCTATTCATCTGGCAATCCACTACAACTTAGTATCTGCCTTCTCTGTTCCACACAAATGAATCTTTTCAAGAGCACCCACCTCCACATTACCAAATCCAGTGACATTTTATGTTCTTATCGTACTTGGCTGTGATCTCTTTTTGGACTCGCTTGGTCCTTATGCCCTCACTCCTCATACACTCTTTTCTCTTTTGTTACCTTTCATATGTTTCTCTCCTGATTTCACCCCCATCTAGCCCCTCTGAACTGTCTTTGCTGGCTTTTCCTCTCTCACTCAACCTTTAATAGGGGACCTCAGGGCTAGATCCTAGACTCCTTTCTTTTCTTTATTTACATCTTTCCCTGGATAATCTTATCCATTTTCCATGAATTTCAATACCATCAAATGCTAATGATTTTCAAAGGAAAGTCATCATACCACCCAAGAAGTCTTTTCTTAATTTTGGTCTTACATCAAATTCTTAACATTTCTAGTCAAATGTCTCAAAAGTGGCCAGGTGCAGTGGCTTATGTCTGTAATCCCAGCACTTTGGGAGGCCAAGATGGGCAGATCACCTGAGGTCAGGAGTTTGAGATCAGCCTGGCCAACATGACGAAAGCCATCTCTATTAAAAATACAAAAATTAGCCAGGTATGGTGGCACATGGTTGTAGTCCCAGGTACTTGGGAGGCTGAGGCAGGAGAATGGCTTGAACCCGGGAGGCGGAGGTTGCAGTGAACTGACGTGCCACTGTACTCCAGCTTGGGCAATAGAGGGAGACTCCATCTCAAAACAAAACAAAACAAAACAAAAATGTTTCAAAAGTGTTTTAAGCCTAGTATGTTCAAAACAGAACTCTTGATTTCTTGAAACTGTTCCATCTAACTAAATGGCAACCCATCTTCCCAAGTCAGAAAATTAGAATTTATGATTCCTTTTTTCTCTCTGTCCCACATTCAATCTTCAACAAGGTCTTAAAGATTCTACGCTCCCATTCCATTCCTTCTTCAGTATAAATCTCTCTCTTTCCTTTTCCGTGCTGCTATCGCCTCAGTCTAGGCCACCGTTTTCTTTCTCCTGGAAAACTGCAACAACTTCCTAACTAGGAACTCTACTTCTATCTTTTGATGTCTTGCCACTTTTTTGTGTGTGCAGTAGAAAAATTTTAATAAAAAAATTTTTTTTTGTAGAGACAGGGTTTCACCATGTTGTCCAGGCTGGTCTTGAACTCCTGGACTCAAACAATCAGCCCGCCTTGGCCTCCCAAAGCGCTCTGAGATTACAGGCCAGAGCCACTGTGGCCAGCCAACGACATTCTTAAAATACAAATAGAACTATTTCATTTCCTGACTAAAGAATCATCAGAGGCCTCCCACTCCCCTGAGAATAAAACCCCAATTCTTCATTCTGATTTGCAAGGCAAGTATAATGCCCGCCTAGCTCTCTTGATGTTGCCTGACTTTTTGATGTAGTCTTAGGCTGTCTCCCTTCAGCTTATTAATGCTAAGCCTCTTTGTCCTTTCTTTTTTTTTCTTTTTTTTGGTTTGCTTTTGAGACAGGGTCTTGCTCCGTTACCCAGGCTGGAGCACAGTGGCACAATCATGGCTCACTGCAGCCTTGACTGCCAGGCTCATGGGATCGTCCCATCTCAGCCTCCCAAGTAGCTGGGACTACAGGCATGCGCCACCACGCCCGTTGGATTAAAAAACATTGTTTTTTAAGTAGAGATGGGGTCTCGGTATATTGCCCAGGCTGGTCTCGAACTCCTTCTCCCACCTTGGCCTCCCAAAGTGCTGGGATTACAGGCATGAGCCACTGTACCCAGCAACCTCTCTGATTTTTATTCTTTGCATTCACCAAGCTCTTTTCTGCCTTTGGCTTTTACACATGTCATTTCTTTTTCCTGAAAAGCTTCTCCCCCACATTTTGTATCTCCAACTCCTTTCTGTTCCTTAGATAATAAAATGAATATCACTTCTTCAGACAGATTTCCACTGATTGTTTTTTCTCCTTTCTACCTAAGTTTTATTCTTTTCTTTTAAAACATAAAAAGCACATATACACTGCTTATTAGGTGTGTGATATTATTCTATTCACAACAATCTCATAATTAGATTATCTTATTATCTTCTCTTTAGATATGGGGCAACTGAAAAACACACAGCTGGTAAGTGACAAAGTTGGATCAGACCTAAGTGGACTAGCTTGTGCTTTTTTTTTTTTTTTTTTTTTTTTTTTAGGTGAGTCTTTCTTTGTCACCAGTCTGGAGCTCAGTGGCACAATCATAGTTCATTGCAGCCTTAATCTCTTGGGTTCAAGCCATCATCCTGCCTCAGCCTCCTAAGCAGTGGGGACCGCAGGCAGGTACTATGATGCCCAGATAATACTTTTTAGTTTTTTGTAGCCATGAGGTCTTGCTATGTTGCCCACGCTGGTCTTCAACTCCCGGGCTCAAGTGACCCTCCTGCCTCAGCCTCCCAAAGTGCTAGGATTACCAGTATGAGCCACCACAACCAGCCTAGGAATGCTTTAAGAAATTATTTTCTATATGCCTGTCATTTATACATATGTAATACATATGGCATATACAAAAAAAAAGGGAAATGTAACTATGCAGTACTGGAACAGCATGGTGTATAGGAAAATAAATTTGGCTGGGCATGGTGGCTCACATCTGTAATCCCAGAACTTTAGAAGGTTGAGGTGGGAGGATCCCTTTATCCCAGGAGTTCAAGACCAGCCTGGGCAACATAGGCAGACCCCATCTCTACAAAAATTTAAAAAGTTTTGGATGCCAGCCACCCAGAAAAAAAAAAGTTAGCTGGGTATCGTGGCACACATCTGTAGTCCCAGCTACTTGGGAAGCTAAGGTGGGAGGATGGCCTGAGCCCAGGAGGTTGAGGCCGCAGAGAGTCATGATCACGCCACTGCACTCCAGCCTAAGTGATGGAGACCCTGTCTCAGAAAAAAAAAGAAAATAAGTTTATCTTCTTTACGTTAAATACTAACATATAAAGGATCAAACTTCAACTAAGCAACATCTTAAAGTGTGAGAATAGTGTGCAAGACATGCCTGAAATCAGACAGAAATGACAAGTGACAAAAGTGTGTCAATCAGATAAATGGGGCAGGATAGTGCATAGGGGCTGGGCCACCATGGAAACGTAGAAAAAAGGAAAGTCACAGAGGCAAACTCTGTTCTTAGTTTGATCCAAAGGAGAGTGAAGCGCAGGCAACCTAGTCCAAGTATTAGGATCTCTTTGGAAGGATTATGCTTACAGTTTGTGGAGTGAGGCATGGCCAGGGGCTTCCTGGGAAGGAGGCAGGTTAGCTACCTGCAATTCCAGATTCCATTTCTTTTCTCTTCAGCAGTTCATCATCATTCATAAATGTGTCAGAGGTCAGATGTCACAGGAGCACGCAGGAGGGGCTTCCCACCTGGAATGTGAGATAAGGAAACATAGGTTGGATGTTGTAGTCATTACCATCGGCTTCTCTACAAGGCTGGAATTTATGGTGCTGCACATTTGGAATGTTTTCTCCTTTTATTTATTTATTTTTAGATCAGACAATCACAAGAGAATACTCTTTTGTTTTATTTTTTAGATCAGACAGTCACAAGAGAATATTCTGCCGTGATCACTGGTGTTTAGAAGGAACCTTGTCTGGTTTGTGAAGCAATGAACGGAAAGCACATCCAGACAGTCCGTTAGTGGAAGCTTTGGAAGGGCACTGTCATTTGCTTTTCCTCCCACGCCATCAACAATTGTCGTTTAAAAAAAAATTTTTTTTTTTGAGATGGAGTCTCTCTCTCAGGCTGGAGTGAAGTGGTGCCATCTCAGCTCACTGCAGCCTCCATTTCTTGGGTTCAAGTGATTCTCCTGCCTCAGCCTCCCAAGTAGCTGGGATCACAGGCATGCATCACCATACCTGGCTAATTTCGATATTTTTAGTAGAGACTGGATTTCACCATGTTGGTCAGGCTAGTCTCGAACTCCCGACCTCAAATTAGCCACCCACCTCGGCCTCCCAAACTGCTAGGATTACAGGTGTAAGCCACCAAATCCAGCCAACAATTGTCTTTTTTTCTTTACCAGGTACACAATGATGGGATAGTTGGGTCCTCCTTTCTAACTTAGAAAACGTGTGTGTGTTGAACACCTGGCCACTGAGAAACAGCTCTGAAATAGGTGCCATGCAGAAGAAGAGAGGGAAGGAACTGGAAAGACCCACTGATATGTGGGTCTCACAGCCTCCCGTTACACAGAAATTGTTCATTTTCTCTCCTATTGCGTTCTTTCCTCTTGATTCTCATCCCTTCACTATTTCCTCCACTCTTACTTTGCTTTTATCTCCTTTTGTAACCGTTTATCAACACTTTTCATATAGATTAATGCGGTTATCTTACAAGCATGTAACATTTAGCTGCTGGGTTTGTGTGAGTAATGAGTGAAGATGAAGCCAACATAATGATCCCGTTTAGTGCTCCAGAGTTACGATTCCAGAGCGGGCTGACTTTGGACAAATCACCCCATCTCCTTTGCCTTTCTTTCACCCCCTGCAAACAGGATAATGGCTCCTACCTCAAAGCATTGTTAGGATTGGAGAGAAGGCATGTTGCGTACTTACGAGAATGCTTGGCACTGGTCTCAGGAACTCCTAGCTCTTATTGTTTAAAAAATGCTATTGTAGGGCATTGTAGGTATCGTATACAGGGAATTTCGTGCAGTTTTCCTTTATTGAAGACATAGAGTAAGGTGCTTTGATGGAAACTATTGGGGCAAGATACACCGTTGGTAGCTAGAAGTTTCCTGAATGGATAGCGCTCTTGTGGGCGAGGGCGAGCAATATCTCAGCGGACTGTCCTGAGAGTATGGTAAGGTTATTTGATGAGAGTGCTAGGTGGCCCAGGCCAGACTGGGGAGAGGCAGGGAGAAACGGGGACGACGGAGGAGGGCGCCTTGAGGTGCGTGTTGAAGGCTTTGGAAAACCAGCGTTCTTTTGGGTGACGAGAACGTCCCAGGGGACGAGGAGGATGCGCGAGCCGCCACCGCGGTAGTTTTGTTTGCTTTCCTCGGAAGAAGGCGTTCCAGACAGTTTCCTTAGCTTCGGCCCTGGACGTAGCAAGAGAGCCCGGGCGCCCACGCCGCTCTCGAGGTCTTCCACCGCAGCGGGGACAAAGCCCTGGGAGGAGCTCCCGCCCCTGCTAGCCGGGCAGGGCGGAGGCTCCCCCGCCGCGCGCGCCCCAGCGCTTCCCCGTCCCGGGCCCGTCGCCTGCGCCTCCGCCTAGTGCGCCTCGCGGTGCAGCGCCCAGCGGGAGGCGCCTCGGGATGTTTCCGTCTGATCCTTCCCTCCTCCCCCCGCGCTGACTCCATCCGCTCCCCGCCCCCTGCTCGGAGCCGCCGCCACGCGGGAAGGGAGGGAGCCGGCCCCGAGACTGCATCATTCCGCACCGGCTGCTGCAGGGCCAGAGGGAGCAGGTGGAGCGAGCGAGCGGGGCGCGAGCCGGACGGAGCGCGCCAGACCCAGGGCGAGACTGCAGTGACGCGGCCCGGGAGACATGGCGGCCGGGCGTCTCTGAATAAGCAGAATCCGGAGCCCCTCGCCGCCCCCGGCCGCCGCAGCCCTGGCCATGCCGCACCACTGCTAACCGCACGCAGGGGCCGGCCCCGAGGACACATGCGGCGGCCGCTGCCGCCTCGCCCCTGACCCTCTGATCTCCATGTTGCATTTCTCGTCAGTTTCTCGGGTGGTGTAGCTGCCGCTGCCGCTGCCTCAAGAGCCGGCGGGGCGTCGCGCTGCTCATTCATCCAGCGGCACTTTCTTTTCCATTTCCACCCATCCTTCTCCATTTCCTTCTCCCTTTCCCCGCCAGCTTTGCATCTCTGTCCCTCACCCCGTCACCCTCTCCTGCATCCATCCACCGGGGCTATGGCCGCAGAAGAGGTATTGCAGACGGTGGACCATTATAAGACTGAGATAGAGAGGCTGACCAAGGAGCTCACGGAGACCACCCATGAGAAGATCCAGGCTGCTGAGTACGGGCTGGTGGTGCTGGAGGAGAAGCTGACCCTCAAACAGCAGTATGACGAGCTGGAGGCTGAGTACGACAGCCTCAAACAGGAGCTGGAGCAGCTCAAAGAGGTGAGTTGCCTGTCACCTCTCCCCTTCCTGGCCCTCACTCCCCCCACCCGCAAGGCCCACTCATCATGATCAAGAAGTCATAAAGGATGTGATTGAAAGGACTGTTTCTTCGTCTAGGGCCCTTTGTTGATAAGAAAAGATTGAAAGAATCCATTGTTTTCTCCCCCAAGAGAAAAATTGCCAAATAAGTGAATCTATAAGCTGGAATTTGGGAGGCAGTGCTGTTTGGCGTGCGGGGGAGGGAGATTCATAAGAGTCTTCAAGTCTCAGCACTCTAAGGCGACATTCAAGTGGGTTGGAATGTATAAATCAAACTTCTCAAAACCGCTGTTATCTCAAACCCAGGTTTCAGCGACAATCCCTTAGTCTACAAAAGTGATGAGGCTTATGCTTGAGGAGCCACAATTTCAGGATATAGACTGTATGGTATCTCAGCTTTTCTCACTCCTTGGTGAGAGAGGGAACTCCTCACCAATCCCATTTGACAAAGGCTGGGCAATCTTCGTTCTGCTTGGCTTTAGTCATTCCTGTTATTAGGCAGCAGGAGAAAAACAACTTTGCTGGGTGATCCCACTGCCTCGATTTCACCTCGGAGCGAGGCTGGGCCATGCCCAAGTCTTATGAGGTCACCCTGACTAGAAAAAATTGAACTCACCTACTCACCTACAAATAGTCTGAAAGAGTGGTGTGTGTATCAAATACGTGGGTAGTGTTGCATTTCAAATGAGGCTCTTCTGGTTGAAATGATATATTTATAAAACCAGACTATCACAAATGGGTGATGTATGATGTCTATCTTTAGTTTTTTGGTATTTGGCTTCTTTTAAAAGCTGTCTGATGTATGGGAGAAAACAATGAACGTGCTTTGATTTCCTATCAAGCACTCTTAAGAACATACATGTTCTTTAAGTAACTCGGTCTGTTTTATCTGATTCCTGAGGCACTATGGGTAGCAAGTAACCAGTTATAAATTTAAATGCAATATACGCTGCTTTTCTGTGTGTGAAGTCCTTATTTTAGGTGGATATTGACATATAAATGTTAATTATGAGTTGGCATATAATATTATCAAAAATCAATTTCTTATGAGTTTGGTTTTTCTTGGGAGGGGTCTTAGGCTGTTACAGTTAAAAGATGTGATTTATAGTATATTCAATCAACTTGCCTTCTAATTTAGTATGTAATATGGTAACCATTTATACTTTTAGATGTCATATTTTTCTTTGGATACCTGTCTACCAAAAAATAAATGTACTACTTATGATTAAAAACCCCAGCTAGGAATCTAATCTTTGTGTGTGTCAGCCTGTAAATTTCTAATTCATGTCTTATTTACCATGTGCCTGCCTGGTCTTAACAGCTGGACGTGTTTATATTTTCCAACTTAGATTAGACTGACGTGTTTAAATGCAGTGATGCTAAACCTCATGAAGTGAGGAAGCAGGATGGTGACTGTAGTTCTCAGAGATGTCTTGATATTGTCTATACCTATCAGCACTGCTTTGCCAAGACAGGAAAGTGCAAACCAGATAGTGGCAAGCCATCACCTTCTTGATACAGGAGATGGACTTAATTGAATGACATGTCCCTGTTACTGACCTTCCTGCTTGATTTGAACAATCCTTTTAGGGATATTTCTGTCACTGCACTTACCTTGCATAGCAAACCTTGATGCAATTATGTTTTGCCTTTGCTATAATATGAGCTTTGCATCCAAAGTCTTTTAACACAAAAGCTAGCACACAATGGGCATGAAATATTTTATGAAAGAATCAATTTGTACTAGAGGAAGACACACTTTTATTAAGCATTCACTAGTCAATATTGGTTAGTGTTAGAGAAATACTAAGGAAATTAGGATGTATAGGAAGTGACAGATATTAATAAAACTACATGTATTAGTTTCACCAGCAGTAATTAGAAAAATGAGAAAAAATGTTTTGTAGGAATAATGCAACTGTGATTTCTTAATACAGAGTAATGCAAATACCAATTAAATTTTTCTCTAAATATTTTAATGTATATTTTGTTCTGTATAGCAGGAGGTTAATATAAATTTATCAGCATTATTATTACTAAATGATTCTTGTTGATATATTCAGTAGCATTTAGCATAAATGAAATTCAATTTCAGGTTCCTAAAAACTGGTTTATATATTTATATTATAGTTGATTATTTGATAGTGAGGCCTATTATTTTTATTCTTTAAGCATGGGATATACTTTAGTTGGAAATATTACTTAAATGAGTTAAATGAGTTTCAAGTAATATTTCTTGTATGAAAAGTAAATCTAAAGTAATTGTGCAAACTGAAGTGTTCCAACAGTAATATCATATAGAAGTCAGTTTTGAAAAATATATTTTGTGAGTGTTTTGATTTTTCAAAAGGAAGTTTTGCTCATTATCAGGTGTATATAGTAAATAATGTTGCATTATATCTATAAAGCCAAGCATAAAATAAATCTTTGGCTTATTTCTAGGCTCTTTCAACAAATATGACTTATTTAAAAATAATTAGATCAGTTTATGGGAATATCAACGGAAAACTATTTTATTTATTTAATTTTTTTGAGACAGAGTTTTGTTCTTGTTGCCCAAGCTGGAGTGCAGTGGTATGATCTTGGCTCACCGCAACCTCCGTCTCCCGGGTTCAAGTGATTCCCCTGCCTCCTCAGTAGCTGGGATTACAGGCGTGCACCACCACGCCCAGCTCATTTTTTTGTATTTTTAGTAGAAATGGGGTTTCACCATGTTAGCCAGGCTGGTCTTGAACTCCTGACCTCAGGTGAGCTACCTGCCTCAGCCTCCCAAAGTGCTGGGATTACTGTGTTGCTATCTTTCTTCCCAGGCTAGGTACTACTGTGACAATAATGCGAGTGGGCAGTGTTGCCTGCAGATGTGCAAAATCAAGAAGATGAAATTCATTAACTTTTTAAAATCCTAGTTATTTCTTCTATCGACCCAATTGTTTTTTGACCTGGCCTGATGTCGCTTAGTGCTTTGCATGGACTGCTATAATTCAGCTCACAGTACTAAGGATTTGAAAAACGGATGACTTCTAACATCATCAGAATGTTCTCCTTTTCATGATGCTTTGGGCAGCTGGACAGAGCAGTACCGTCCACTCGAATACTTGAGTCTGGTTTTGTGATATCACAAGTAACACTTACTCTTCAGTGACCTGAGGGGCACCCATGCCCAGTCATGTTCAGGGCCTGGCTGATTATATGTTTGGGATGTGCGTAAATCAGCACTGTGTGCCGGTCACCCAGGCCAGAATAGTGTTTGAAGAAGAGTCACAGCTCTAAAATAACCTGGACGCTGAAAATATACATATATAAAAATACCCTAGATCTTAAACTTAAGAGTTTTTTTTTTTAACTTAAACATGTTTGAAATTTAGAATGCTATAAAGTTGAAAAAGAGCCCCTTTAGAAAGGAATGATTCAGCATTACTGGTGGCATTTTAAAAAGGAAATGTGTCTGTGAGACAGCTTTAGAAAAGTTTTGTAGCTTGGATACAGTAGACTATGCACTAATGAGCTTCAACCCATTTTCTTGCTCATTTTGTCAACCCTGACACCAAGGAGAGTTACCAGCTGCTGAGGAAGCACTTTTTGGACATTGGGAGGCTTTTCCTTTTGGAGCCAGCTCTATGCTTTTTCAGGGCTATAGTTAAGTCATTCAACACATAAATATGTACTTACACAGTTTTAGAGCTTGTCACATTGGTGACCTGATGAATGCCATTTAAATTACCTAGATTCATCTTTAAGCAGAATTAATTTTTTTCCCCTCAGATGCTTAGAAAGATTGTTAGTTTCTTCTATATTTGTAAGTTCTAAATCACGAAATCATATGGCAAGAAAAACCCCAGATTTCTTTTCCAGTCTATGAATAAACATAAAGAGAAAGTTAATACTCAATTGATCTACCTTAACTATGATTTTAACTTCTCTCGATTTTTTTTTTTAAATTTACATTTACCATCAAATTAATTTTAAAATCTAAAATATATTACCATCTGCTTTTGGAAGCTCTTTACAAACAATCTTAACAAACAATCACTTTCAATCACATCTCTTGTTTTCTGGACCTAGTCGCTCTAATTTGCACTATCCCTTCTTTTTTTTTTTGAGACAGAGTTTTGCTCTTGTTGCCCAGGCTGGAGTGCAATGGCACGATCTCGGCTCACCTCAACCTCTGCCTCCTGGGTTCAAGCAATTCTCCTGCCTCAGCCTCTGGGTAGCTAGGATTACATACGTCTGCCACCATACCTGGCTAATTTTGTATTTTTTGTAGAGATGGGATTTCTCCATGTTGGCCATGCTGGTCTCGAACTCCTGACCTCACGTGATCTGCCCGCCTCAGCCTCCCAAAGTGCTAGGATTACAGGCGTGAGCCACTGCGCCTGGCCCCTTCTTTTTATTTCAAATCAAGATTTCGTCTCTGATGAAGTTATTTCTCAGATATAACTTAGCAAGAATTTATCATCTTTCATCACATTCCCTATGTTTATGTGAACATGTATAACAGCCATGGTTTGAAGATTTCTTCAGAACTTTTTGCTTGCAAATATTTTGCGCTATCATCCCCTTAAATATACTTGTACTCATGGATATTGCTTTCCAGATTTGAAAATATGATAATTAATTACTTGCATGTTGAACTATACATAAAGGACTTGCCCACACATAAGATTCCACCTGTAATTATGGCTTGGAAGGAGAGAAGGCCACGAAGGGCTGTATCGTCTTAGTATTAAGTAATTCATTATGCTAAAGGAGAGTGCAGGTGAAGTCGAGTGGCAGGAGACTCAATTGGGAAATGGCCTGTCTTGGGGATGTGGAGCCATTGAAAATAAATGAAACAGTCACTGTGTTTAATCTTACCAATCTTCAAAACAATTAAAAGGGCTTATTGCTCATTTTTACTGATAAGCAGATAATAAAAGGAATAAAGCGTTGACTTAGGTACAAGGCTCCATTTACGACCAGGT